AATTCATGTATATAATGAGAATTAAAAAAATATATGTATAAAATTAGATTGACAACTTTTAATTCTCTTTAATTTAAATACAGAGTCCCAGCGAATTCATTTGCTTGATAATCTACCATGTCATGATGATCATACTTGTCAAGTGAGGTGCAAAGAAAATTACCCGTTTGACCCAGATGTAAAGGGTCATTGCCTTAAATCTGCCAAAGCGTCGAAGGGTAAATGTTACTGCTACATTAATGCTCTATTTATTTTACCGATTTGAGTTTTACTACAGTAAAAAATTTTCAGAAATGATCACATTTAACTTTTTTATTATATTAAAAAAATCTCACATAAAGTCACATTTATATTTAAATCAGCGAACTAAATGGACCCTAAATAATTATATAATTCAAATGTTAGTTATCAACTTATCATCTCAGAATCTTATCGTTTTAGTAAGTATATAAATATAAATAACTATTATCATGGAGTGCTATTGGTCGTACCTGTATGTATCATTAGAATTACTAATGCTCACTGTTAGGAATAATATCTTAAAAGTATGAGATATAATATGATATTTATTATTTATTTAATAAAATAGTTTATTCATTATTTTATGTGCATAAATTAATAAATATTTATGAATATCAGTAAAAATTTATGATTATTTATGTGACTTTAAATATTTTATATAAATATTATATGAGAGATGATAATATTTAAGGATAATAATCAAAATGATGTTCGTAATGAATTTAATTAAAGTTCAGAATCTTTAATTAAAACATTACTAATACATGTCATCCTCATTCAGAATGGAATAGTGTTATCTGCACTGTTAATATGGTGAGATATTGAATGAGTATATTACGTATAATGAGATTATATGGAACAGAGACATAGACACAATACGAATTTCTGAAAATTTCTGTTAAGTATAGAAATTCTAATTGACTTTACCGATGGTCATACATAGAATGATCTTAATCCTGAATTATAAGCATACTCCTATTTGTATATTTGTGTCTTTTATTTGTTCAGTACAGATTTCGAGATCTTGAATCATATTCTTTGTGTTTTAAAGACATGATGAAGTGAGTAACTAAGAATGTTATTATACGAGAGGGAATTCATTCCTTCTTGAGAAAGAAGTGGATAAATAATTCTCTTAAGAGTTGATTCGGTACTTGGATAAGAAGGATCTCCGATTTATGAATTTGTTTTATGAATCACTGTCAATTAGAGAATCAATAATACTCAAGGATAAGACATAATTAGAGAAATTAACGGATTTCACCTAGCTCTAATTATGAATTATTTATGTAGGATTGATCTATATGTAATGACTATATCAAATAGACACTTCACAGTTTAAAAGTAATTTATGTATACAATTATGAGAGTGTAATTCCAAGTTTATAGTGGAGTAACTTTTAGAATTAACATAATTAATTAGTTAATTAAAGAGTTTAATTAATTATTAATTTTGTTGGAGCTCAGAATTATAAGTCACGAGTCCTCGCGTCGTCCTTATAATGCTACAAGACACTAAGGGTAAACTGGAAATTTTAAAATTATGGAGTTCTAAAATAAAATGCTCAAGGATAATTAATTGAAAATTAATCATAAATTAATATAATGTGAATGTGTTCACAAGGTGTGAACACATAGCACAGTGTGAATCTCTTTGACATTCAGTTGCTTGCTCTCCAAGTTATCCAATTGACTTATTTGATAAGTTGTCCAATTTGAAATTAAAATTGATTTAAGTTTGACTTAAATTAGAATTTGAATGAGTCAAAATTAGTCTGGAGGATAAATGCATAATTTTGCCCTATTCTTTACCTGCAGTATGCGCCTTCCATAGGTAGGAATCTCCCTATAGTGGCCAGCCAATATATGGATAAGGGAGAGTGGATTTTTGTTTCAAAATCAAATTAGAAGTGAAAGATAATTATCAAACTTTATCTTAAAGATAAAGATTAAATTTCTTTTGAGAGTCTGACTAGTAATTATTAAAATTATAAATTACTAATGTACTTGAACAATACAAGACTCTCTCTTCTACTTGTTGCTTAAGTATTTTAATAACTACACGGTCTGATTCCGCCAGCGCCACTAGTTTTAAATGTCTACTAACTTGAATTTTCTTCAAATCACAAATCGTCCTCTTTCGAAGACCACTACTTCTTTTTCCGACGAACATTAAATGTGGACCTCTCTAACAATTGTTTATTTTTTAGTGGAGTGACATAAATAGTATTTTGAATTAGTTACAAAAATTTCCCTTGAACTAGGCCCCTTATAACAGTTTGTCCCCTGAGCTTTAAACGTAACGTTCATTCCCTTAGAACAATGAAAGGTTTCATATAAATAGCAATTGTTGTTAAACAATTTCAAGCACAATTACTATTTTATCCACACACCGTAATTTTTAATCTAATTTACATATAATATAATAAAAAACAAAATAAATCTTCTTCACTCTAATGACACAACAAATCCCCACCTCTCAAATATAGTTCCTTTTATTGGCAAACTAGTTTAGCTTACGTGCGATGCACGTTTTAAGTTGTAATTAAAATTTTAATAACGTAGAGTATATAAATAATAGTCTAAGTGAAAAGGTGATATGATTAAATTAATGAAACATTCCAAATTATAAGATAACAAAATACAAAAAAAAAAACCCCACAAGTAAAGAGATTATTATGATGAGAAAGTTTAGATTTGAGGTTTAAAAAATCTTAGAGAAAGAATGAGAGTAAAAGAGGGGAAAAAAAAAAGAAAAATTAGGAGAATATTAGTGGAAGTCATCTGATAGACAAGTGGTGCCAAAAAAAAAAAAAAAGAAAAAAAATGGAGAATTTACCGTTAAGAGTGCATGAATCTGACATTTACCCTTCACTCTTAATAAATATCATTTTGTTAGTGTAATTATTTAATTAAAAAGGTTATGAATCAAGAGTAAAGGGTAAAAAGTAACTCTAATCGTAAGAGATATTTGTAGACAAATGGAGTTAAAAAAGAATGGAAAAAGAAAGTTAAAATACATAGAAATAAAATAAAATTTAAAGAATGAAATTAGAAAGAAATGAAAAAGATTAAAAAAAATGAAAACGGCAAAATGAAAGTAAGAAAAAAATGAGGGGTAAAATACCAAACAGTACATATTGGACAACGAAATGTGAATAGTATGCCCTATGGATTATTTGTATGTATTAAATTGTATTTGATGTTTTCATAACATAGATTATGAATATAAAAAATTATAAAAAAATTTTTACTTAAAAATTTAACAAATCAAGAGTTATTTACATAAACAGTCTTTAATAATAAATTCATATTTTAAAGCAAATGTAGCACGAATAATGCATAAAGGGTTACAAATTATGAGAGATTAAATAGTAAAAAAAATAGATCCATAAAAAGGAAAAAAAATATTTAGACTAGTTATACATTTTGACTTTTTGTTTGATATATTTTTTTTCTCAAAACTTGTTTTTTAATTACTTTATCATTTTAAAACCCTTACGTATTATTATTGTGTTCGATTCATTTTGAAAATAGATAGTTCATTAATTAAGGAGTCAAAACCATATATTTCATTAACCAAGTGAAATTTTGATTTAGTTTTTCAGTTAAAAAACCCAAAAACATAAAAACACATACCACAAAACACAAATAACTCGATACCTATAGAAGTAATAAACAGTGAAACAACAAAATAGCTTAATACACAACTAACCGTAATTAAAGTCAAAATTGATCAATAATTAAAGAGCTTATTCCGATGAGAATTGTTGAGATTGGAGGTTTTAAAAATCTATAAGAGAGCGATAAAGTTTAAATGTAGAGAAATGAAAGAGGAACAAAAATAATAAGAGAGTATTGGAGGTAAGAGGCCACAGTAAATTAAATAATGAAGCTAAAAAAGAAATAGAAGAAAAAATAAAGTAATGAAAAAGAAAAAAAAAGGTAGAAAACCATTTGTAAAATACAATGGTAATCAAATATAGTTAAAAAATGAATTAAAAAAACTAAAACACAAAAATAAACCGTTAGGATAACAAACTATAGTAGACAAATGGAGTAAAAAAAAAGAAGAAAGAAAAAAGGAAAAAAAACTTTGGCAGTCTAAACGGTGCGTTTGGACTACCAAAAAAGCATAGTGAACGTGTTTATACTCTTTTAATATATGTAGAAATGTATTTTTATTATTTACTATTTTTAATGTTTAAAAATGTTTAAAACAACTTCATAAAGTTTTAATTCTAAAAAAAATAATCATAAAATTTTTAACTTACATTTAATTAATAATGGATATTTTGTAATTAAAAGTCTAAATTTAAATTAGTTTCAAATTTAACTTAAATTACAAATCATTAAGTTACTAAAATACCTCTAAAATAATTAATTAAATGTCAATTTTCGTTAAAAATTTAACAGAGGGGGCTTTTTATTAACATTTTATTATTTAAAGAGAATATATGTTACGTTTTAAAGATCGAGACAAAGTGTTAAAAGAAGTATAATTCGAAGAAAACTTTTATAATTAATCCTAATATTTTGTATCATCTTAATAGGTATTTCTAATTTTTTTTTTCCTTTTTTTTTCTCCGGAGATCATTTTGTCAAATAGAGATAAAAGAGATCATAAGTGTAAAATAATAATAACAATAATCCAATATAGGAACTTCTATGATAGGACTAAAAAAATAAACTCATGATAGTTTCATACTTTCAGTCTTTAAATCCGTCTTAAAAACTATATATTATATATATTTTTTCTATCTGATGTGATTTTAATTAAATTTAACAATTATAAACATATAACTATCTTATAAGAGAAATTCTTTAATAATAATAACAATTTTAGTATATAAATTCTGCTACAAACCTATAGTTTTAATTTTTTATAGCGTTTTTTTCTTAAAAAAAATTTAAATTTCACAAATTATAATAAAAACCCTAATCAGAACTTTAATTAGTTTGTGTTGGGATAAACGGCCTAAGAACCGTCAACAGTGTGTATCGGTAAACGAACCAGCAAACGCCAGACCCCCAAAAAAAAAAAAAAAAAAAAAAAAAAAAAAAAAAACAAAGAAGACGACAGCCAGAGGCAGGGCTCCTTCCTTCCTGCAACGACTTGGGAATTATTTTTATTTCATTTACACCCTCACTCTCTCTCTCTATATCTCTCTCTCTCCGTCTGCAAAACCCTAGGAGTCAAAGAAAATCAATGCGCATGGGGTCCGATTAGGGTTTTTTGGGGCGAGAGATGCATCCGAAGCAGCAGAGAGCGTCGGATGGCGGGGGAGACTCGACGAATGTTCGGCCGCTGAGGAGCAGCGACAGAGTCCGGCGGAGGCCGAAGATGTACGGAAGGGCCTCTTACTTCTACTACACAAGTCCCGCCATGCGCAAGCGCAAGACCATCAAGAAGAAGACCAGGAGCAGGACCGCCGCTTCTCGCATCGCGCAGTTCCTCTCTCCCTCCAATCGCCGCCCTCCCGCCACGGCCACCCCGACCACCACCAAAAACAACGTCAGTCATACACACACCCACACTCTCTCTCTCTCTGTTTTTGTTTTTTAGTTGAACATTTTTTTGGACTTCTTTCTACGATTGAATCTGAAATTTCGTAGTTTCATTTTTGGAGGTCTCGAGATTTATTATTATTATTATCATCATGTTCTTTTTATCGTAATTCTGCTAAATTCCAACAGGGAAGGGAAAGGAAAAGGAAAATTAAGGATATATATGTTTTTTGTCTGCAGAATTTCTGGTCTGTTCTTTTATATATGATATTTTATTAAATTAAATGTGGAATATTTTGTGGGGTTTCCTTTTGTTGCAGCAAAGGAGGTCATGCATTGCATGGTAGGTTGCACATTTGGTTTCCTTGCTTGTGTCTGTGAGACGAAACTTGTAAAGATGCTCAATCATATGTTTTTTTTTTTGGTTTTATAATGTTGAAAGCATTTTAGTTAAATTGTTGAAATTAGTTTAACCAAAGGATTAATTGCCCTTCTCTGGTATATTTGGTGTCTTGAAATTCTAACATATGCATAGCTACTCGTTGCAGGCAGATGTAAGTAACCTTCGACGCTCTACCAGAAAGCGAAAGGTTGTAACTCATGATGATTATACGGACAGTTCTGGTTATGAGGATGAAGACTTAATGGTGAGATGCTATAACAATGCAATTTCTATGAATGCCAATTATTCAATTGCCTCGAATTTCAAAACTAATGCGTTGAATCGGGACATGATTATTTTGTTTGTGACTGAACTGAAGTTATCCGATTTTGTTTCAGAGACCTTCATATCGATCTTCGAGGAACCGGATGGATAACAATGTGAGCAGGGTTGAATTGTTATCTCCCAAGAATAAAAAGGTCGTGGAAAATAAATCAACACCTCGGCGCGAAGGGTTACGCCCTCGCCGTTCAAAGGGAGTTCCAAGGGAACAGTCAAATATGGAATTGGATGATGGGCAAGGTACTTCAGAAGAGAAAATTGGTGAAGATGAGACTGAAAATGGGAATGATATCGAAGAGATTGATGCAGATGATGATCAAAATGAGGGTGAAGGTGTGGGCGAAGATGAGGATGAGGGTGAGGGTGATGGAGATGATGATGGAGAGGAAGATGGTGATGATGAAGACGGAGAAGAAGAGGAGGAAGAAGAAGAAGAAGAACAAGATGGAAGGAGGAGATATGATCTCAGGAATCGTGCAGAGGTACGTAGGATGTCTATGGAAGTAGGAAAGCCAAGACCTAGATCCCCTCGAAGGGTATTACATCAAGGGATGGGGACTAAAGTCAACACGGATGTTAGGAAGAGCGGCTCACGAGTTCATAAGCGCCATCGTATTGCGAGGGCTGACGATTCTGATGACTCCCTTCTTGTGGATGAGTTGGATCAGGGCCCTGCAATTCCGTGGGGCCGTGGTGGGAGGTCCGGACCACCTTGGCTTTTTGGGGGACTTGACATGCATGGGACAACAACATGGGGGCTGAATGTTGCTGCATCAGGTTGGGGTCATCAGGGCGATGCTTTAGCAAACTTGACTTCTGGGATTCAAACTGCAGGGCCAAGCTCAAAGGGTGGGGCAGATATTCAACCTTTGCAGGTTGATGAGAGTGTGAGTTTCGATGACATAGGTGGGCTTTCCGAATATATTGATGCTTTGAAAGAAATGGTCTTCTTTCCCCTACTATATCCCGATTTCTTTGCAAGTTATCATATCACTCCACCGAGAGGGGTGTTGTTATGCGGACCCCCTGGCACCGGTAAAACGTTGATTGCCAGAGCATTAGCCTGTGCAGCATCAAAGGCTGGGCAAAAGGTAAGTTTTTACATGCGTAAGGGTGCTGATGTCTTGAGTAAATGGGTGGGTGAAGCTGAGAGACAATTGAAGCTGCTTTTCGAAGAAGCCCAGAGGAACCAACCTTCCATTATCTTCTTTGATGAGATAGATGGGCTTGCACCTGTGAGATCAAGCAAACAAGAACAAATTCACAATTCTATTGTGTCTACTTTGCTTGCTTTGATGGACGGTCTTGATTCTCGTGGGCAAGTAGTTTTAATTGGAGCAACCAACCGAATTGATGCCATTGATGGGGCCTTGCGTCGCCCTGGTCGCTTTGATCGCGAGTTCAACTTTCCTCTGCCCGGTTGTGAGGCACGAGCTGAAATATTAGATATACATACTCGAAAATGGAAGCATCCTCCTTCAAAGGAGTTGAAATCGGAGCTTGCAGCTAGCTGTGTTGGATATTGTGGTGCTGATTTGAAGGCTCTTTGCACTGAAGCTGCAATCCGTGCTTTCCGTGAAAAGTATCCTCAGGTTTACACGAGCGATGACACATTTCTAATCGATGTTGATTCAGTAAGGGTTGAGAAGTATCACTTTGTTGAAGCCATGTCAACGATTACTCCTGCTGCTCATAGAGGCACTATCGTGCAATCTAGGCCATTGTCTTTAGTAGTTCAGCCATGTCTGCAAAGGCATCTGCGTAAAGCAATGGATTTTATAGCAGATATTTTTCCTCCCCTTTCAGTGTATTCAGAATTGACCAAGTTGTCTCTGCTTTCCTATGGTTCAGCAATTCCTCTAGTGTACAGGCCTCGCCTACTTTTGTGTGGCAGTGAGGGTTCTGGCCTGGTAAATATCTTAGAACCTCTTGCTCTTGACAAACTGGTAACTGTTGGAACTATAAACTAAATATACTTACTGCTTTAGTTTAACAGGATCATCTTGGGCCTGCAATTTTGCACGAGCTAGAGAAGTTCCCTGTTCATTCTCTAGGACTTTCATCTCTGCTCTCCGATCCTAGTGCAAAGACAGCTGAGGAAGCTTTGGTACATATATTAGGTGAAGCAAGAAGAACAACGCCATCTATCCTTTATTTGCCTCAGTTCCATATTTGGTGGGAGAATGTGAGTTCTTACTTATTTATTTGAAATTTTATCAATCAAAATGCTAATGAATAATCATTTACGGTCTTGATTTTTTTTCCCCTTTCTTATGTTCTTCTTTAAAACTTTTGGTATCATATCTGAATGCCTCCTTGTCACTCTATGTCTATATTGCAGGCACATGAGCAGTTGAGGGCTGTTCTACTGACGTTGTTAGAAGAATTGCCATCTGACTTACCCATATTATTACTTGGTACAGCCTCCGTGCCACTTGCTGAAGTTGATTCAGACGCTGCTTCAATATTTTGCAACCGTTCTGTGTAAGTCTCCTTTTCCTCTTCATAATCTGTTTCCTTTCCCCTTAATAATCTCATGTTCTAAACCTACGGCGTCCCCAATTTCTTCTGATGCATAGTTTCATTGGTGGTAGTTAATTTGCTTATTTCCATTCTCCGTTATCTAGTACGAACCATATTAGTACATTATGATAGTCTATTAAAAGATAAGTGTTTGGTTTGATTTATCATGGGGAAAAAGTAGCTGTTCCTGTTATTTGAGAGAAAAACAGAATGGTGCTCCATCATTACATGGACTGTGCTCCAAAAAAGGGTTTCCCTAGGACACCTTATTGATGAGATGAATGAATCTGTACACTGGAGTTCTTCAATTTCTATCTTGCTTTTAGCCAGTTTTGTTTCAATTTTAAAGTATGTTTTTCAGAACTTTGTCTTCTGAGGATTTAAGTTGGTTCATCGATTTATTTTATTTCTCTGTAAAATAATAATAATAATAATAATAATAATAATAATAATAATAATAATAATTCCGTGTCTGTGCCTATACCATGACGTCATACAACAACAACAACAACAACAACAAAACGACAACAAGAACAACAGCAGCAGCAACAACAATAATAATAATCCCACGTCCATGCCTATACCATGACGTCATATATTACTCTTTTATGACAGCTACCAGGTGGGTGAACTAACCACTGAAGACAGAACGTTGTTTTTCAATCATTTAATTGAAGCTGCTTTGTCAGTCTTGTTGGAGGGAATGACAAAGAAATCCCAGGAATCAGCATCTGTTCCTGAACTTCCGAAGGCTCCAAAAGTAGCAAGTGGTCCAAAAATCTCCGAGTTAAAAGCCAGGGTAGAAGCTGAGCAGCATGCCCTTCGTCGATTGCGGATGTGCCTTAGAGATGTTTGCAACCGGTTAGATAATCCCTCTCATGTATAGTGATTTATTTCTCTGTTTGAAGACTATGGAATGGAAATTCCTATTTATTCTGTGGTTTGCTACATTTCAACAGTAGTTTTGCGCTAGTTGGACATTCTCTTTACATCTGTCATTAGTCCTAATTTTAGCATTTCTTGCTCTCACTGTTTGCATATATGTCTGTTTCTTTTCTGCAGTATTTTATATGATAAACGTTTTACTGTCTTCCACTATCCTGTTTCGGATGAAGATGCCCCAAACTATCGCACAATCATCCAGAACCCGATGGACATAGCTACACTTTTGCAGCGAGTTGATTCTGGGCAGTATATTACATCTTCAGCATTCC